CGCTGCTCCGAGCCGGCGATAAACGATAACGGAGAGAACCGGCGTCGGTACTTACGCCGTCCACTTGCGCAATTCCTATTGTTGCGAGACGATTGTCGACCATAGTGAACTCGTAACCCTTCGATTTGTTGCCATGTCGACATCAGGAGCTGTTTTCATTGGCGCAATCTTCACTGTTCCGGTGCGGCTAGTGGCGGAACCAACTTCCGGCATCTTCCTGTTGGTGGGCATCACAGCGTTGCGGGTCTTGCCCGCAACCGCCAAGAGGGCCTTAAGGGCCCAGTATGCCTTTTTTTTGCCGCCCCAGCTCGAAAAAATTTGCTATTTTGACTGGAAAGTTGGCGGACTTTGCCACAGCACAGATTTTCATTTTTCGATAGACAATGGCCACGCTTCCCATCATTACATCAAGCTCAATCCGATTGAGAACTAGCGCTGCACGCACTGAATTTTTCATGACGCGTGCAACTACGCCCAGCGTATACAGCCCCATTTCCATTAATTTCACGAATCTTCAAGGTCCCCCCTCCACAGCACAAGAAAATAAACATATGCCCTTGTAGCCCTACCCTCGCGGTACCCTTTGCCCCCCTTTTGCACGAGCTGCAACAGCACCAAGATCTATCATTGGTTGGTTGTGGGTAATGATAATTATTATTATTATCCAAGATCGGAGAACCTCAAGTGGTGGCGGCGCCGATGCTGGTGGTGATGGCCGTGAGGCCCGCCTTGAGCTTGGCGTGCAGGGAGCGATTGATTTCGAAGATGAACGCTATCTGTCGCACCTGTTACACGTGAGTTCTTGCCGTGAGACGTTTTACGAGCCTGTGGTGCGAACGCAACAACAACAACAGCTGATGAGGATACCTCGACGAGACAACAGTGCGTGAGGTGCATTCGCTTCCCGGTGGGAACGGATCGCCCGTTGACGAAGATGGTGGCTCGCCCCACGTTGTGCACATAGAACTCGCCGTCCCGCTTCAGCTTGATCACCGCCTGCAACATTGCAACATGCACGTGGCACACGACACGCAACACAAAACATGAAACGACCAACGACACGACACACGGTCAGTAAATCAGGAAGACACATTGGAGGAGGCCAATCCATGGAGGGTGTTGGGGTTGAACCTGTCGTCGTGATATCTTCGCTGCGTCGCCCTCCTCGGAGAGATCCACATCCACGACCGCATCGCCGGTCGTACGGCCCAGCACGATCTGCAATGACGATGCACAATGCTGACGTCAGCATAACCGGCGGACAACAGAACACACACAGAGCAGACCATGACCCGTACCTCTTTGCTCTTCATTTCGTAGCGGAGGTAGCGACCGCGCAGGAGGGCCAGCATCTTGAGCTTCTTCTCCGTGATCAGCTTCAGCTCGTTCTCCACCCGCAGGATCTGCTCCTGCACCCGCTCTCCCTCCCGCCAGTAGGCTATAGTAGGGACGCGGTGATGCGATAGTGAGTGTCTGGGCTCGCTGGCAGCGGCGAGGTGGGGGAGGGGGAGGGGTTTACCTTCCTTGCGGGCGATGCGGCTGAAGAAATCGAGGGTGGAGTGAGGCATGGCCGCCAGCAGCTTCGCCTCCATCTCGGAAAAGCGGAGCCCGTCCAATTCTTGACATAACAGACGAGCGTGAGCACGCGACACACATCACACACACACACACACACACACACGACAGCACCCGATAAAGCACACAGGTATTACCTTCAGTTGTAAAGGAGAGAGGAACAGAGGTGGAGGTGGAGGCAGAGGTGGAGGCAGAAGAGGCCGCTGCGGAAGTTCCCGGAGGCGCGTGAGACGAGGCGTCGACCTCTGCCGTATTTTTCACCTGCTGCTGCTGAAGGCCATGACCATTTGGCCTTTGTTGTTGGTACGGATGGTGGTGGTAGGAGAAGGTGGTGCGGCGTACCTCCGCGGGCGGGGGCTCGTGGGGCTTATCCGGGCTGGCCACGTGCGGTGGCCGTTGCTCCAAGTAGGCCAACAGCGGCAGGTCAAACTCGATCTCGGCCAGCCGGGCAGCGCACGCCCTAAGAATTCGCGTAAAAACCGTGACACGCGCAAAAGTCAGCATCTGCGTGTGCGTGTGCGTGTGCGTGTCGTAGGTGTGGTGGACATACTCGGCGGTGGGCTGGTCGTAGAGGATCGCGTGCCAGCGGGCCTTGATCTCCTCGGCCGTGAAGTGGTTCGTCAAGTACCCCTTCCGCACCACGTCTTCGATCGAAGACGAAGCCTTGGCGATTTCAAGAAAAGAAAAGCAAAGAAAAGAATGAAAAACAATCACCAAAGTCAGCCATAAACTGAGCTGAGGAGTGGGTTGGGGTTGGGGCGGGGGAAAGGTACTTGGATGGCGGCGAGCAGGATGGCGATCATCGAT